TCATAGATTTACAAAATTACTTTAAAATAGGAAATTTCAAAAATTCTAAATGCCATCCCTAGTTTAATTTTGTTAAATTTGTCAAAAGGTTACCCTCTTTAAAGTTGCAACCGAAATAAACTTATTACTGACTTGTTAGTTAGAGACAGTCTCAGCTTCGACCCACGACGTAAGCATGTCTCTTTCTTCAGCGAAAAACCTGCTCAGATCGTTTATCACTTGTCAATAGCAGTTGGCGTGCGTAAACCGCATGGCTGATTTGGACATTGATCTAAGTAAAGCAAAGGAAGACTCCTTAATAAAAATTAAAAAAAATAAACAGAAAATATGCGCTTCATTAGTTGAAATAAATAAATAATAAATCTAATATATTTCCATTTAAAATTGTTTATGTTAACACATTTGCCAATTGCTTTCGACCAGCAGCTGTCATACAAAAGTAACAATAACCCAGTGCACTATAACTCCAATGACGGCAAAAATCTACATACATACATTTATATAAATTTAACTAACATTTAGACACATTAAAAAATGTACATACATTTGTATATACATATATATTTTTCTTTCATTTACACACATCATAAATAAATTAATAGTGACAATTTTCAATTGACTTGGACTTGAAAAAAATATGATCATTATTCAAGTGACGTACTCAGGCGGAACGAACAATAGGATACTTGTATCTACCGCTGAATTACTTAAACCACTGCCTTGTTGTTGTCGTTGTTGTTGATGTTGTCAATAGCTATTGAAAGTCTAGCATAACAAAAAAGTAATTTTTTTATTGTTTTTAGTTTCAACTGAATTTGATTTTTAAATGTGATGACAGTGATTTTAAATGCCATTTTTATATATGTACGTACAAACATTACATATATGCATGAATGTATGTATGTATATATGCATATCTACCTAATTTTTAGCAATTTAGATCCCATTAGAGTCGCATATAAATAGGCATGAATGAAAACAATTTGATTAGGTTCGCCTTTGTTTGTGCGTTGTGATGTGTATATGTGATAATGTGCATATATATATGTGTGTGTGTGTGTGTGTATGGCATGCATGCAGATGGCTATTAATCGCACAGACAAATATACAATTCACTTAGATATGTTAAGCGCGTTTGCCGCTAGAAGTTTTTATGACTGACAGCCACTGAAAGCGTCAGCCTGCGCCTGCTTCCACTGTCCCACTTCTCCGTTGTATGTATATATGTATGTATAAACGAGTATATGCATGTTTATGATTTTTGTGTTACGCCTTTTTTATTGTCATTTAGCTGATTTTATTTATTAATTCAATTACTATGCTATTACTGTGTTGGATTTTACTGATTTTTGTCTTCGTTGTTGTTGCTGTTGTTGTTTTCATTCGTAGTTTTGTAAACGATTTTATATCTATTGTTGTCAATTGTTGTGCTGCGGCTGTCTGACCACTTTTGTATTGCCTGACATGAATAGGTAATTTGTTTTCAAGCTCTACGCCACTCCACCTCCCACCCACACCGCTGCCAACGCCTTGGACATTTATGGACGCCAATTCGAAATGTCAGTATGGGCAAGTTAAAAGATGGTAATGATGATTATTGTTGAATTATTTTGTTTTGCTGTCAACATGAAAAGTATTTTTAAATATTAATATTAATATTTTAAACACTGCAATGACAAATTTGTTTGCGTTTACGTGTGCGTGTGTGTGTGTGTGTGTATGTATTTATATAGTTGACAAACAACTAAATTGAATTGAATGGCATTAGGCACACAGCGTTGTAAGAAATATATGAATAAATATAGATACTCATACATATATACATATATGTAAAAATACAATTTTATAAATGCCCACAAATCTGAATGTAAACAAATTCATCGCAATATAAATTCATACAGATATATGTATGTACACATATGTATATGTATATATGCACAACTGCTTTCATTAGCTATCCATATATCAACAATTTTATGACTTTAACGCTTAAAAATATTTATACTTAATTGTTTTTATAGTTTCACTACAAATAAATTCACAGTCGATTCAAAGTAAATAATTATCATGAATACATATGTATGTATGTATGCATGTGTGTGTAGGTATGTGTGTAAAACATATTTGTCGCTTGGCTAATATTGACAAAGCGGCGAATAAATTTTTGTTTTTGTATCTAATTAAATACACACAGCTTTTCGGCTGAACGAAAATTATGATTATTAAATATATATTTATTTAAGCATTTTTTCTTTAATAATTTACTATTGAGCTTATGAGGAAAAACAATTTGAAAATTGTACCATTTGATATGAAGCAATTGGCTCATTATTGTCTTTTATATAATATTTTTTTATAACTGCGCTTGTGGTTTTAGACCTGGTAAATCAACCAAACTTTGAAAAGATCCCTGATCGCCGATTTGAAATCAGCTTTTGACAGCACGAACAGGTGCTACTTCGGATTGACTAGGCAGTTGAAAAGAAAAGTCCTCTCTCAACGAACGAAGATTAAATTCTACAAGTCGCTCATCGTTCGCATCCTGCTAAATGTGCGGAGGAATTTATGTTGAGTTGGCAAAATGAGTTTTCGGGGGAGAAGTTTTCCGTAAGATTTATGGTCCTCTGCAACTTGGAAACGGTGAATACCGCAACCGTTGGAAAAATGAGCTATACGAAATACATATATATAGAGAGATATACGGCGGCATTTATATAGTTAAGCTAATCAGGAGACATGGAAACACTGGTGAGGTCATGTGGTCGGAATGGATAAGACTACTGCAGCTCTAAAAGTTCGATACAGTAGTCGCCCGTGTAAAAGGAAGAATAGGAAGACCTCCACTCTTAGAGAAAGAACAACTGGATAAGTACCTGTCTGCACTTTGTATTTCCAATTGGCACCAAACAGCGAAAGGCAGGAAAGAATGGCACGCTGTTGCTAACCCTGCTACAATTGTGTAAAACTGTCTACGCCAACAATGAAGAAGAAGTAGACTTGCACAGCGGGGTGATATGATACGCTAGAACCCGTTAAATATATTATATATGCTTCTGCCCGATTGAAGAGGTTAAAGCAGCCTTGCATGAAAACTTATAGTTTTGATGCCGACCACTGGAAACGTGTAAAACATCAAGATCATCATAATATTTTGGGGGCATACTACACCTGGAATCTACTGCAACTCATTGGGGAAAGTGTCGCTGCCCTGCTGATTGATAGTTTCGCCCAAGTTAATACTGTTATCAACGCCGTCCACGAGACGAGATGGATCAGGTAAGGTCAGAGATGAGTAGTTTTTTTTTTTAAATATTATTTTTTCATTCTTTTAATTATTAATTTTTTTAACTTCACTTTTTTTCATTTTTAACTAATTTTTAATTTTAATTTTTTTTTAATTCTTGATAAATTTTCTAAACTTTAATTTTTTAATTTTAATTCTTTTAATTATTTTTTAATTTTTAACTACTTTTTTAATTTTAATTTACTTTTAATTCTTAATTAATTTTTTTGAATTATAATTTATTAAATTTTAGTTCCTATAATTATTTTTAATTTTAATTTATTTTTAATTCTTAAAAATTTTTTGAATTATGATTTATTAAATTTTAGTTCCTTTAATTATTTTTAATTTTTAATTCTTTTTAATTTTTGATTTATATTTCAATGGTTAATTTATTATTTAATATCTTAGCTTTTAATTCCTTTTTGATTTTAAATTTTTTTTAATTTTTAATCCCTTGTTTAATTTAGATTTTTTTTTAATTTTGAATTGTTTATTAAATTATTTTAATTGTGAAATATTTTTTAATTATTGATTAATTTTGTAATTACTAATTACTTTTTTAAATTCAACTTTTGTTCAATATTTAATTGTTTTTAATTATTTTCAAATTTTTAATTTTTTTAATTATTAATATTTTAAATTTAGAATTTTTTTTTTATTTTTAATTTTTTAATTATTGATTTATTTTTTAATTTCGGATTACTCTTTTGATGTTAATATTTTTTTAATTTCTAATTAGTTTTTTAATTTTAAATTTTGTTTAATTTTTGATTGTTTTAATTATTTTTAAATTTTTATTTCTTTATTAGATTTTGATACATATTTTAGCTATTAATTTTTTAGATTTTAATTTACTTTAAGTTTTAATAGCTTGTTTAACTTTTTATTAAATTTTAATTTTTAATTCCTTTTTTAATTTAAACTATTTTTAATCTTTAATTCCTTGTTTAATTACTTTTTTTTTAATTTTTTTTATTTTGTATTGTTTTATAATTTTTGATTGATTTTTTAATTAGTTTTGAATTTTTAGTTCTTTCTTCATTTTTGATTTATATTTTAATGATTAATTTAATTTTTTAGATTTTAAATTTTTATTACTTTTTTAATTTTTTATTACTACTTTTTTTAAATATATTATTTTTTTAATTTCTAATTACTTTTTAATTTTTATTTTTTTTAATTTTTGATTGTTTTTAATTATTTTTTAATTTTTAGTTCTTTTTAATTTTTGATTTATATTTCAATGGTTAATTTATTATTTTTATTTTAAATTTTTATTACCTTTTTTAATTTTTTTATTACTATTTTTTTTAATTTTCTTTTTTTTTTATTTGTGATTAAATTTAAGTTTTTTTTCTTTTTGATTATTTTGAAATTTTAGATTTTTTTCTTTAAATTGTGAATTACTTTCTTGATTAAATTTTTTTTTAATTATTAATTATAATTAAAATTTTGATTTTTTTTTTTTTAATTTTTATTTATATTTTAATTTTTTGTTTTCAAAATTTTTTTTTCTATTTATCTTGCTACATAAAAGCCATTTGGTCCAAAAGGAGCGAATCCTATCTATAGCGAGGGTAATGGTTTTCATTAGGGTTTGATTGTTTCGGTGTAAGGTTCGGTTCGTCAACGATATTTGCCTGCAGCAATTGGCCCCCCTCACATATTTACTATCTCTCGTAAATGAAAAGAAAATTGTTGTTTTTTTATTTTTTAAATATGTATTTTTATTATTTTCATTTAAATGTAAAATGAAAACTAATTATGCCATCAAGTTTGTAGTTAAAGTTTCTGACTTTTTTATGATTTTGTTTTGTTTTTTTACAGAGATTTGTTTGTAGTATATAAACACATACAAGCGCTTATTATTCAGTTAAACATGGTTTGTACATAAATATGTCAAGTTTTTCATGTTTTCCATGTATGTTTGTTTGTGTATATGTTACATTTATTACTTAGCTAAATTAAGATTTTTAAAAAGCCATTTAAACGAATGTGTTTGTTGCATGTGCAAGGCCCTTGAATGGACTCTCTACACTGCATAAACAAAAAACCAATTCATAAATTTCACGCTTAAAATTATATAATTAAAAGCAAAACGTACGTACATAGTAATTAATATTAAAATTAATAGTAACAAAAAACTAGTTAAAGTGATTGTTTTTTTAAGGTTTCATGGTTATTGGAAAAATGCTTTGGCTGCATTTTAAAACTAAAAAAAATTAAATACAATAAAACATTTAATTACATTTTACGCTTTTTGCACATATGTAAACGTATTTAAGTATACATGCATGTTTGTATGTATGTAAGTCATATTTTTATCATTTAAAACCTAATAAGCCTAGCATCCAACTACATTTTAGTATCACAGTGTAAAATGATCGCAACAATAGCGCATTCTCAAATTGAAATTTTTTTATTATGATTTTTATCCTTTTCTGAAACGCAATTATGTATTAATCATTTTTAACGTTTTTATTTTTGTTTAAAATTTTTTATTTTTATTTTCTTTTTTTGCTTGCCTATTTTGTGCAATTTTAACCACCATTTTCAGATCTTTGCTTTGCTCTTCTCCTTCATCTTTTGTTTTTATTTTTAAATTTTGCTTTTGCTTTTTGGTATGCAGATTGTAACTGAGCGCGCAGCACACTGTGCACTTATCGCCCATTTATCGTTGGCCTCGCAATCGACATTTACGCGCACGCGCAACACTCAAAGATCACACGGTTAGCCTTTCGTTCTCCTTGACTAGCCTTGTTGTCTGTCGTTTTTTTTTCTACTAATGCTCGTCTCATTAGCCTCGCACTTGAAAGCTCGCTGCGCTTACTGATGTACGGCTGCCGAGCCAATGCGTTGACCATACATCGCATACGGTGAGTAGTATGGTCCCAGTGCCGCAGCTGCAGCTGCAGCAGCCGGATTGAAGCCGGTCATGCCGAATGCGGAGGGCGCTGTCAATGCACTTGCTGGTATGCCGCCCGGTTTGGCATAAGGATGATAACGCGCAGCAGCAGCAGCGCTCATCGGACTCAATGGTGGTGTTGGATAGCCAGCACGCAGAGCTGATGGAGGGAAGAGTGTGCCCAGTAGTGATTGCGCTTGTGATTGTGCCAATGCTGCAGCGGCAGCAGCGGGATCCGATAGATTGCCGGTGTGTGTGCGTAGATGGGAGAAGAGTTCGTCGGAGGTCTGGAAACGTTTGCCACAATAGGCATCACCTATCACCCAACTGCATACGTATGGTGCAGAGCGTGCCGCAGCAGCACTTGCGGCGGCAGCAGCGGCGGCTTGTGAGTAAGGATGACTCGGTGGGAGACCAGCAGCGCCGCCCATCATAGCCATACCGTATTTTTGGTGTTCACACTGAGTACAACCGGCCGGACAAGGTGCGCCCATAAGCATTTGCTGGGTATGTGCCGAGTACGGGCAGCCGGGACAGTAGGGATCCTTGCAGACGGGTACAATAGCTTCGCCGCCCGATGGTGTCTTGATGCGTTGATAACTGATGTAGGGATTAGGTTGTGTGCCCGGTCCGTTGGGACCGCCTGGATAACCGCCGCTAGCAGCAGCAGCAGCTAACATGGCCGCATGGTGATGTGAAAAGCCGCCGGCAAATGGTGGACGGAAAGCGGGATTGGCGTGTTGTTCCATGCCGGGTGGGCAGCAAAGTGCAGACAATGGATTTATGCCGTATGGACCGGCTGCTTTGTAAGCAGCAGCAGCGGCAGCAGCTGCGGCAGCCATGCTGCTCATCTCCTTTGGATGTGTGGCTGAACCGTTGACGTTATTCAACACTTCCATGCCGGAGCGCACAATCGGACTGGCACCACGTTGTGACGAGCCGGCGGGTGATACTGTTTTGCGATTGTTATCGCCGGGTGTCGGTGTAGCGCCATTGTGACCATTCTCCAATTTGTGTGCATCCGGTGTGCAATTGGACTTGCTGCGCGATGGTACGCGTGTATTGTTATCATTACCGCCATTGGAGGAGCATTTCGAGCTGGGACGTTGTTCGTCCGCGATTGTTGATGACGACTTGAATGAATTGTGATTTTGAGCGCTAAGCACATTTGTCTCGTATGGTTTAAAAGCCAATTTCACCTCGGTGGTGGTGGGTGTAGTGGATTTGGGTGATTTGGCCTGATTCGGTGACTTGGAAGTACTCAAATCTGCACTGGCATTCGATGAGGTTGATGATGAGGATGACGATGTAGATTTCTTTGATTTATCCATAGCAAGCAATGGTTTGACAGCCGACGAGTCGGCGCCAATTTGCGAACAAGTCTGGGCCAACAAAGCGAGTGGGCTTTTCTTGGCGTCCATCTGGAATGGGAAAAGAAAGAGAAAATGAATTCATGAGTAAAGTGAAAATATGTTTAAAAATTATATAAAAAACAATCAAGAGTTAATGCATTAAATTTTTTATTACCCAAAAAAAAATATATATATAAAACATTTAAAAAAATATCAATAAATATATTTAAAAAAAAAATATTTATTTATTCAAGTGAGGTATTTTTTTCATTTGAGAGTTCTGCGTATTTTTTGCATATTTTAGCTGATTACCAATTTTTGAGCATTTACTGCTTTCTACAAAAAAAATATTAAAAAAATTTCTGAACTTTTTCCGAGAAAACATTTAACTCGATATATACATATACAACGCTATTATGTTTTATTTTTGAATGCATGCGCATACGCTTTTCCATACGCCCCACCACAGGTGCGCCCATCACATACTCTTGCTATTATTAAACACCTAATAATTTGCTTACTTTATTTTAGAGACATTTCCATTTTTATGGCATACATTTTTTACTTAAAAACAACCATAATTCAGTTTTGATAGCTACATTATAAAGGAATTTCAGGCTATAAAACTGCTTTCACCGCCAATGACTGTGTCGTAAAGGCACTTTTTGTGACTATAATGACCAACATTTATGGGTCCATATTGTGACACGAAGATTATGAAGTCAATAAAACTGGTGATATGATAATAAAAATAAAAATAAATTTTATTTAATATTTTTCATTATATATATATATTTTTTTTTAATTATTCAAATTTTGATTATGCTTTTTATTATGCATTAAATTTTCTTTTATGAGTGCATTAAACATGCTTTTATATATCAAAGCGAAGTAAAAATAATGAAAACGATATAATGAATGCTCTTTAAAAGCGAAAAAATATTTAACTTTTTGACTTTGCCACGTCAAGCTGTTGCGCTTAGGGAAATTGAAAAAAATTATACACTTTTAGTAACTGTAGATAAAAAATGCAGTTACAATTAAATTTTTCTTATTTCTCTATATTCAATTGAGTGATTATGCGTTGTAATTATGTATTTTGTAAAACAAATTTTATTTGATGATTTTTTTAATTTTTCTTTCCAATGTGGTTCATAAATAACTTTTATAATTTTTTTTTTGTACTTTTGTGTAAGCAAGTTGCATTTCATTTTAGTAGTTCTTTCAGTCATACATTTTTTTCAGTACATCAAAATTTTTTTACACATACATAGATACATATGCTTTGTACATGTTTAAAGAAATGATTAAACTTTTTAATCGACGTATAATTCGCAGCGGTTGTTTCAGCAACTTTTATTTAAGAAAAAATTAAATTAAATACCAAATTTTCGATTATAAATTTTTTATATTATATTATATTATATTATTATATTATATTATTATATTATATTATTATTTTATATTATTATATTATATTATTATATTTAATATATTATTTTATTTTTTATTTACTATTTCTTTTCAGTTGTTTTTATGTTGCATTTTTGAATTATTTAAAATTAAATTTGTTAAAATTATTTACAAAAAAAGTGAAAATTTTTAAATTATTTCAATTGAGTTATTGTACTTTGAGTTTTTAATATTTTTTTCAAATTTGTGGTTTAGTGTTTTAAATTTTTAAACCTTTTTAAACTTTCTTTAGCGATTTATATTACTCTGTTTTTTCTTTTTTCAAATTTTTTAATGTTTATTTATTATATATATTTTTTCGATTTTGTTTTATTTTTTATTTTTAAGGCCTAAAAGCTCTTCCGAGCTCAATAAATCCTTTCTTAAATTTTATTAGAATAAGTTTTTATTTCTTTATTTTATATTATTTTATTTTTTTATTTTTTTGTTGATGCTTTACATATTTCTTGTGGTTTATTTATTTATTTTTATTAAATAATTTTTATTTGCTAATGTATTTATTTTGAGTGCTTTTTATTTATTTATTTACAACTGTTTATTTCTTTCTTTTTTGTGTCCTTTTATTTATATTATTTTTGTTTTTTTATTTATTAGTATTTTTTCAATTACTCAGCTAAGATTTAAAATTTTTTTTTTATTTAAAATAGTTCTTAATTAATAAAATAAGTTTTTTCGTTTAATTCATTTATTTGCAGGTTTCTTTTTAATTGAGAACTATTTTCCCTATTTTTAGTAATAGAGTTTACAATATAAAAAATTTATTTGCGTTTTGCAACTAGTTTTTTTGTAAACTTTACGTCCATTTTAAAATTGAATTAAATTTTTTAATATTTATTTATTATTTTCTTTTATATAATTTTTGTGTATTTTCGACAATTTTTGAGTTAAATTATTAATTTTAATATTTTATGTAATTTAATAGTGTTATTATTATTATATAAGATAATTTCTTTAAAATAGCATAACATTTAGTTTGCTTATTTTTCATGAATTTCCGCACCACCAAATATACCAATATTTAGACTCTGCTATTGTACTTTTTGCTACCTCATAATTTTATTACCCTAATTAGCTTATTATCTTAAACCCAAAAAAAAATTTTTTTTTTTATAAACTTCCTTATCTCTTTTTTTTGGCAAACTTACCGTTGTCGGTATGGGTGACAAGTAATCCGGTTGCAAATATTGGTTGTTGCCAATGGTAACAACACCGCCGCCACCTTCTAAAACAACCATTTTACGCAAATCCAGAGGTTGTGTAGAAAGCGTGGGTAATAACGTTGAATAATACAGCTAATCCACAAAAAATGCTTAATCCAATGGGTGAGATGGTGGTGCTGCTAAGCTGCTTATAGTTAGTAGATGCGGATAATCCAATTATTTATGTGTGCGCTTTTTTTATGTTTGCAGTTTTTTGCGCTGTCAAGCTGCGTATCCAGTATTTTATTATGCAGTGTTAGCACAATTTACCGTTTTTTTTTTTATAAAGCACTTTAATGTAAGCAAACGCTTTGCACGGTAAATTAATTTTCTACACTGTTTGATTTTCTGATTTTTTAGCAATTTTTTTGCCACAATTTTTTTTTGCTGAATTTTTTCAGTATTTCAATATAGGGTTGAGAATCACTAAACGCCTTATTTAAAGACTGATTAGACACATAGATGTTATTTATTCCGTTTATTTCGAAATATTTTTATTTTTTTTACTTTATTTTAGCACAACTGTTTATTATGACAGTCAAATTAGCTTATTTGGTTATACATATATAGATAAGATACATATGTATGTATTTAGCCAGATTATATTCACTTAGCTACGTTCCGAGTATATTTTTCAAACACGTCCAAACGCAAGGGAAGCCAAAAACGAACTGATTTTTCCCTGACACACAACTTGCTAAGGTAGCTTGGTTGGCGAGCTAAAGGTTGGTGTACTCGTTGCTGGTTAGAGCGCCGCGCCAATAGCCAACTCAATTGTGCTCTTTCAGAGCGTTTGTACTCCAAGGCAAAGTGGCGGTATGAGTTGTTACACTCTAAACCCGAAATGAGCGCTCCGCCGTACAGCGCCAAGGTAGCAAGCGAGTCGGCACGATGGCGTGTGAGTGAGCGCGCTATAGCGAAAATTTCAAATATGGCGTACTTTTCGTCCAATCAAATCGCATGCGCCATAAAAATGTCTGTTTGTTGTATGCCGCTATTTACAAATACGTGCCTGTGTGTGCCATTGCTAATTGTGGCAACCAGCTGTCAAGTGGTTTGTTAAAGGATGAATGTACGGCTGGGCGCTAGGCGGCACACATGTTAAACTTATATCCAGCGGCATTATGCACTTCGAAGAGAGCCAGTTATATATATTTATATATATATAAATACGGAGAGAGAGAGCGCGCGCCTAGCGAATGCCAGCGTAACAGGTTTTTCTCTACAGAAATTTTGTTGCTGGCAAAAGTGTTAAGAAATTCTATAAGAAACAGGCATTCACACTTATTTACCCGCTCAAGCAGCATAAATGTCGCTCAGTCAACTCTTTTGATCGAAATTTATAACCAATCAAGTCGCTAGTTGGTCTCACAGCACAACGGCAACACTTGAAATTGGTGTTACCTTAGCGGAAAGTGTGTAGTGAGTGCGTTTTATTGAGCGCGCTGTAGAGCGCATAACATATAGTGAGCGCCACGCTCTTTGGCATTTTCATTGGTAAATAATTAATAAAATCATAATTTAATGCGCTCTCAAGCGATTCATTGCATAGTCGCTCTTTTAAAGTGCGCGACGCTCAATTTATTATGACTCCCTATCCGTCCACTCACAGCGTACTCACTCGCTCACTCACTATTCGACGCGCGCGCTCCTGTCAGCGGCAATCATTGCGTTTGGTTAAGTGACCAAAAGGTTGCAATTAAACTGTCACGTTTATCACGCCTTTCAGTACAACAGCGGCGGCGGCGGCAAAAATAATATGCCACAACAACAAACAACAGTAGCAACACAGCAAACAAGCAACGACGAGGAGTCAAATACATGCATATATGTATGTATGTACATAAATGAGTGCTATAATTTTCAGTTTTATTTTCATTTTTATTTTTATTATGCGCACTGTCGGCATAACAAGTTGCAACTTGCACAAGCACTCCACCGTGCTGCCGCCGACGTCGCAACGTCACGCAATAACGCTTGTGTTTAAATTGTTGTATGCACCACTCAAGCTACTAAATGGCTGCATTCGCTTGTAAATCGTTCACATTTCTGGCTCTTTAGTGGCATTAAAAAGTTGGTTAGCACCATGATGCGAGTTGGATGCGTTACATACACACGTACTTACATACAATAAGTACTTTATAAGTATACAAAGTATATAGAGATATGTATGTATGTATGTATGTAGATGTACACTGTATGGATGTATACTCGCGTAAAACTTTTACACACTTCCATTTGGCGCGCTTTTTTATGAAGCTTAAAAAGGACCTTCAATAGTTCACTTTATTACTAAGTGAACTTAGTATCGCTTTTGTTGATAATTTTTGTAGTTAAGTGATATGTAATGAAAAAGTTTACATAGCAAGAGCATGACAAATATACATATACAATATAGGTATGTAAAAACATTATGTATTTTGAGTGCATTTTTCTTGTTCTCTGCTCTAATGGATCAAACGTTTTGCCGACGGCGTTTCGGATTTTGTTCGAATTCACAAGAAATATTGTACGAAAAAGTAAAGTTAAAGTTTTGTGGCTTGTTTAAAGAAGGATCTTAAAAATAATTTTTTGTTATTTTAAAAATGTTTTTTTTTTTTTAATTATAATAAATAATTCCAGTGATTAAGAAAAATTTTCAGCTAAACGAATTTTCCATAAGTACTAAACATCAAAGTAAAATTATTGAGTATCTTTTTTTTTTTAGGTATGTATGTATGTATGAATTTAATTTATTTATACAAACATTTAATTCGATAGCAAATATTTTTTCAAAAATTCTGATATTTAAAAATTGTGAAAATTCACTTCAAAAAAAAAATTCAAAAATTGTCAGAAATGATTAAAACTTCTAATTTAAATATAGAATAACAATTGTTGTAGTAAAAAGTCTTGAATTATATAACAACAAATTAATCAAAATAAAATTGAAATCTCCCTTTAATTTCGTGCTAAAACAGATAGAAATCAACTAGTAATATTGTATATTTAAAAAATATTTCCTAGATATACATATGTATGGGCGAGACAAAAACTGAAAATATGAAGCAGGTGAGTCAAGTATGTAATAAGAAAAATTTTGAAAATTTGGTGTCATTGGCAAGCTAATGTATTAATTCATATTTTGTTCAAGAATTTTTTTTTCAAATTTTTCTTGGCAAAGCATTCTTTTATGGCAATAGGTACAAATTAACTTAAAATGAACATTTTTCAAGAATTAATAAATATACATATTTATGTAACTAGCATTTTGTAATCGCTAAACCGACATTCTGCCGAGTTTCACCTGCAATTCAGGATATATGCACTTTATGTCTCTCCAACAAGTGGAGTCCAGTTTATACTAAGTCGCCTCCGAATGGCTGCTGGGTTTTTATGACGAGGTTTTTCTTTCATGACGAGAGACGCCGCAATTGGGAAAATTAATTTTTCATAATTTTATATTATTAAATAATTTTATATTTAATTATTAAATATATTTTATTAACTATTATAATATGATTTTAATAATAATTATAATTATTCAATTATTTATAGCATATACCTGTATTTAGTGACATACAAACATCTTTATCAAAACCCTAAATTTTTAATAATTCCTAAAAGTGTTAAAGTAAAATATTAAAAGCATTTTTTATTGTATACCCTTTTTTTGTAAGTTTCAGGAAATTAAGAAAAAAAAATTAAAAAATTTAAACAAGTTTTTTTGAAAAATATTTTAAAAACATTTTAAATAATATTCATATTTTAATTTTAATAGCATAACTTCATACATAAATTAAATAAAATTTGGATATATAAACTGTTTGATTTTCAATTTAATTTATGGAACAGATGTCAGCTAAAGCATACTGAGGTTTGGATTATTTAAAGAAGGATTAAAAAATTAACATTTTGAGCAAATTACAAATAAATATTCTTAATCCTTTTTATAAGAGTGCCCCTAAATTATTTGCATATCAGTCGAATGTGTTGCTATTTTAAGGAAGAAATCATAAAAATATTAGATTTTCGACAGAAAAGCAAATTTTAATTTTGGTTAAGGCAGAAAAAAACAGGTTTCTACAGATTTTTTTTTGGGCGTACGGTGAAAGTAAATTTGTTTCTGATTATTGTACATTGTACATGTAATTGAACTATATTCTGTGAAATATTGGTTGGAAAATATTGACAATTGACCGAATGGCAGCAATTCATCGCAGGCGCCTCAGAAAAAATACATTTTGCGGTGCACGTCATACCTCAGCACTGGATCATTTGAAATGAAATAACCAAAGTTTTTCTATCAATTTTTATGTCCCTCTAGGTATCCCTGTCGAGTTTTTCCATTTTTTTTTTAATTTTTGAACTTTTTACAAGACTTGAAAGTGAAAATACCGATTTTTGGTCAAAATTCATGACTATTTTTGTTAATAATAAAAAAATTAAAATAAAAAACGAAAAAATCTCGACAGGGTTACCTCATAAATTATGTAAGGAAATATTGTAAAAAATTTGAGAGCGATCGGTTGAATAGATTTTGAGATACAGAGTGCACCGACTCAAAAAACATCGATTTGAGAAAAACGCGTTTAAAGTTTTTCGTAGCGAAGGTAGTAGTTCGAGACCCGCCTACTTTGTGAGTTTTGCTCCGATTGACTTCCTATTTACAGACAACATTCTTGAGTTACTATACTTTCATAATATGCAATAAAAAAAATCACTTTTTTTGAACCCTCAAAACCCTACCCCTCGTGTCTCACGTATCAATTTATACATTTTCAAACGGATATTTGGACAGGAAGTGGTTGCCGATAGAATAGTTTCAACTAACCAAAATTTTTATCTGAAATTCATCTCATAAAAACATGCTATAAAAACTTCGATTTCACATTCCTGAAATACATTGATATGAAGACGCGGGTTCTTACGAGTTTGTCATGCTCATCGGTTAACAAGCTTCGAAAAATTATTTTCCAACTAAGCCGAAATGCAAAATCCTGCGACAAAGTCGTTCAATTTTGAAAGTAATTTGACATCTTAACATCAGATTTCGATTCAATTCAATTGAGTTTATTCAGTTCTGTGATTTACAAATCTCATAGACTAGAATGATCCTATGGCATGGGTTGAACTAATGGATTCCCTCTTTAGGGGTAAAGCCACACTAAGATTTTGGAAAACGCAAATTTTTTTTTCGATCTCAGGGTACCTTTGGGTCCTAGAGATAATTGCAATTAGTTTTAAAGTGAAAAACATATTTCAAATAATTTAACTTTTTATTTTGCTGAAGCACATAAGCTGAGTATAATGAAAATAATGGAAGAGCTTTCTCAAAATCACATTTTTCAAAGAGCGAGGATATATTTTTCGGGCACTATAGCATCGATTTATCTGAAACGGCAGCTTCACAAATATATTTTTTTAAGTACGTAACTGCTTTTCGATTAAATGTATTCTTTTTTTAATAATTAAGTGCGTATTTTTTAGTCAAAAATCAATCTTTTTAAAAAAGGTGTGCCACTTTCTCAAAAATTTGTTAAAAAATAAATCCGTACGTACTTTCAAAGACTATTGTTTGTAGATCATCAAACTTTTTTCTTTTCGTCTCTGGGTCTCATCCTTTAGAAGAAATCGGTCTTCCGTTGACGCCTTTCAAAAAAGCATGGATTAAATAATGGACTTTATCACCGTCATTTTATAACAAAA